CATTGCTTCCCAGTTCCGGTACACATCTCACCGTGGTAAAACTAGTGAACGCCTGTGAAGCTGGAGTAAGATCGTCTAGCCACCATCCTAAAACGTGTCAACTCGAGAAAAGGCTACCTAGATGGGTCGGCACATCTATGAAAAGCCGAATGCCCCCCCCCGTCGACAAACTGCGCCCACACAAGAACGCGTTTGAAAGGTAATCTGGTCCGCACTAAACAACTGCTGCAAGATTCCAGAGTAGGAGTTTTGAGGCTCACAATCAGTGACGCTTTCTTTGTGCTTCAATGACGGCTTCTTTAGACCCCCTCCGCACTCTTCCTTCAAAGTTTGCTTTCCCCTGGAAACGATGCTACCTGAAAAATCGCATGAAAAGAAAGCTCCGCTATCGCTTGTGGGGCTGTGCGTTTTTCTTAGAAGGGAATCAGCTGACTGAACGAAGCCATCTAATCACCGGTTTCTTTTTTGATTTCTTAAAGGCAGTTGGCACGATAATTTGGTACTCAGCCTAAAATGCTAGCAGGGCGCTATCTAGTGGTAAAATGGCGAAAAAACGAAGTGAAAGGTCAAAAACTGCGAAGAAAAGCCTTCGTTCTTGAGAAGCAATTTCGGACAAGTTTCCCGTAGGCGTGCTGCAGCAGGTATGGCTGCCTGTATGTACTCATATATCCATTCAGCACCGCAGCCGCTTCATACTATTCCCTTCGCTTCTATGTTTTACTCAGCAAATGAAGCTAAACGAGCATCTGTAAGGTCGTCCACAGTGGGCGGGCGGGCGTTTGGGTCGCAATGTTGTAGCTTATAGGACCCTTATAAGGGTACCTTCCTCGGAGAAACCGCTATGCAGCACCTACTCAGGGTCGGAAGAAATCCGCCCTGCCACTCATACCAGTCCCACTCGTTTTTAGGGATTATCGTGCCAGCTGCCTTTAAGGTTAAGGAGACATGTAAGGGGCACCTTCGACGTCCCCTTTCGCATTCCCTCTTCACTGACGAGTCGCATCTTGCCTTTCGTATCTCAGCACCACCATCAACGATTTTTAGCGCGGATGTGTTTTGAAGGATGCTAGGTTACTGGTTGGACGAGATACGGCTCGCGCGGATGTGGGAATGCTCAGCGAACTCGCCAGTGCTGAGCCACAAGAATCCATTTTTATAGCAACTCACTCTGATTGGTCCTTGTTGTCATATAAGTTGTTTCATTATGGGAGAAAGCTTAGTGGGTATGATGCGTCTCTCGCGGCGTAACGGATAGCGCACTCATATCAGTCCCACTCGTTTTTAGGGATTATCGTGCCAGCTGCCTTTAAGGTTAAGGAGACGTGTAAGGGGCACCTTCGACGTCCCCTTTCGCATTTCCCTCTTCACTGACGAGTCGCATCTTGCCTTTCGTATCTCAGCACCACCATCAACGATTTTTAGCGCGGATGTGTTTTGAAGGATGCTAGGTTACTGGTTGGACGAGATACGGCTCGCGCGGATGTGGGAATGCTCAGCGAACTCGCCAGTGCTGAGCCACAAGAATCCATTTTTATAGCAACTCACTCTGATTGGTCCTTGTTGTCATATAAGTTGTTTCATTATGGGAGAAAGCTTAGTGGGTATGATGCGTCTCTCGCGGCGTAACGGATAGCGCACTCGGGCATAGCGTGAGATGCGCTCAACATTTTGCTTGTTCTTCATGTCTTTATTTGCAACTACAGAGGACAGGAACTCCTTCCTTGACCCTCTTAGCTAAGAAATCTAACAAAAATCACATTCCTCATTCTCTGACCCCTACTTCTATTTTTTTAACGACGAGTAAATTTGTTTCTGATTCGCCGACAGATCAGAAACATTTCTGATTCTGTCTGGCGTGCTATTGAGGTAACAGGAGCCTAGATTTGTTCGCGGAATGATGGGACAGGAGAGCAACGTGTTCTTTGGAAAAAAAAACTCGGAAGGAGCGAGGGTTAGGAGGAAGAAATTCGGTGCCCTGGGTGTCTTACGTCTGCTCTGTAAGGAGCGATGAATGAGGTCATCCTGGCACGAATGCAAGACTGAGGGATGGACCATATTCTGGCTTTGATTTACGACCTGGTAATTGCGTAGGATTAAGACTAAGCCATTAGTTTTCAACAAACATCTAATTAAGGCGTTGACTGATTGCTGACCGTCAAGGGTTTTCACCATTTGAGTAAACATTGTGACCGCTGGTCAGCGAAGCAATAAAGTCTTGAGGCCTATTAAATTAGGCGTCTCAAATGCAAGAATCGCTTGCAATACTCTCAACATCGCTTACTCTTCCTCCGTACACTTCAGAGGGTCGGTCCATTTCTCACAGAAGTGGGTGTGTAGAAGGATCACCAAAACTAGTTTAAATCTGCATGATTTTTATGAATACGTCATACGGTACAAGAAGTCTATCTCCTAATCTGAATTGTACTTTTATCTGAGCAGAAAATGAACTGGGGAAGCGAGGGAGAGCGGCATGAGGAACGTCTGCGACAGTACGCTTTGGTCATGGTAGTCTACGTTTTGTTAACTTCAGATTTTCAAAAAAATTTGAAACTCTGAAAATCTCCTTTTCGTTTCAGTTGTGAAGATAACTACGGAAATGATTGCCATTTTATGCTTGAAACCGTTGAGTAGTGAGTGTGACCTGATAGTGTTCCTTAATACTTGAAACGGAAAACGCAAGGCACTGTTCGACTTAGAAGGGGGGGGGGGGCACAAATTTTCTAGTTCGCTAGTTTCGTTTACTAGTTCCTGCTAAGCTACACGTCTCATCTTCGTGGCACATGAAGATTTTTGTCAGGCGTAAAAGCCTCTGCTATTGCAGCTTTACAGGAGTTTTCAATAGGAGGCATTGGCAATAATCGATAAGAACCAGCGAAATGCCCCCCTACCCCAAGGCGAACTGAGACGAAGCCAACCTATCGACTGTTTAATCTTTCAGATGAAGAAATGACCGTGTTTGGCCTAAGCTGCTATGACCCTATTGACTTGACGCCACTTTTGCCATGTCAGTTCAACCAGCTAGAAACGCTATTCGAACGCGATCTTGGATTTCCTGCAGTACTATTAGAATTTTCCATCAGTGACTTTTTGTATGCTGCCACGTCTAATAATTCACTACAGCAGCTCAGCTCTCCTAGGATTAGACGTCATCAGGAAGAAAAATATAGAATTTCCGAGGCAAGTCCTGCGATAGCCAGTCGCTTGTGGTGGACCCTTCAAAATAAAAGTGAGGTCGGGCTTTGGCTTGACAGTGAATGAAAAAGCCAGAGAAACTGCTCAAACGCAAAGCAATGCCTGCTTGACTAGTAGGATTCTGCGAACGTGCTGATTTCATCTGGAAAGTGGATACGGCGCATCCCCTGGCGCTTAATACCTTGTGAAGTGGATTGGACTCCGTTGCATGTACCCCTTCTCAAAAAGGCATTCAAAAAAGCACTATGACTCCCTTGAATTCCACATAGATAGGTGGGCAAGTTGAAGACGAGAAGACCATGCATTGGTCCCCCATAGACTAAGTGGCACCTGTATCCACGGACAGGACCGCTGTTGTGTCCTCCCCATGGGCGAATCAAAGGGCAGATACTATATGTATATGAGTTAAACTCATGACAGCAGCAGCACCATCGCCGCTCAACTGTTGAACTGCGAGAGTGGGGGGGGGGACTCGGAAGTTATGGACCCAACCAGTTGGACAAGGACGGATTGCTCGGGCGTGGCGAGCGGTTCTTTTAAAGACTGGTCTGGAGTACCAAATGGCGGTTAGCGCCACTTTTCCTCCCGCTCCTCTTGAACCCTTTGGCATCCGCGATGTTGTACAAAACCCGACACACTACACTGCCTTCGTTGATTTGATTCTATTTCAACGAAGAAGACACTGGACCTCCGGGCATCTGCCCTTTTCATCTGAACGGTACTTTTCAGGTACACGACAATGATCCGGTGATATACAATAGCGAGCGCAGCCTGAGTTTTACCCATGACCAGCCGTTCTTTACGGTGCAGTCTGATGGTACAATAATTCTCAAGGAGGAACTCACTACACAAATAGCTTTCAAACCAATTCGAATGGAAGTAAGTATTCTCGTCACATTTCCTCCACTTCCAACCATTAACCGTCTCCTCTTACAGGTTCTTGCCATCGACTACGGCAGCCCGCAACTGTTCACTCTCGCAAATGTCACCATTGTCCCAGTTACAGTATCACGTGAGTGTACGGTTTCAAGAGCTTGTACCTGGATTGCTTGAACTCAGATTTCAGCGGTGCGAGGATTGCGTGTGAATGTCGCTACTGAAGAGTATCAGATTTTTGAGTGGGAATCACCTTCATACGGTCATCCAGAAAAGTATCGGCTGACTATTGCTAGAGGCGAGAGTATGCACTATGAGGAGGAGCTTGATGCCAGGCGAACAGTGGCCCTCACCAAGGTCAGTTTAGTGGAAATTTTGTGATTTCCTTATTGCAGTATGATTTTTTAATTTTGTTAACAACAGAAAACTACCACTAACCAGTCTGGATAATAATTTGCTATTTGTGGACAATCCTTTTCTCACCATCAACATTTCCAGTATTCCGTTTAATGGATCCCTTTACTCAAAGATTTCTTCGAAAGTTCCCCTGGGTCAAATAATGGCGCAGATTAGGCCATAAATATGTAATTTAAGTCTGAGTGATCACAAGCTAGTCCCTTATCTGAAATTTTAGTGATCAGGCGGCCTTTATTTTGTCTTATACCCTACAGTTACTCACAGAAATAAATTCCTCTACGCCCACACTATTCCGGTGTTCGTTTGTTTTCACAGATTATGGCTAATCGACGTGGTTACAGTAAAGAGTACAGTAACGCTCAATTCCAGGTAGCGATCTCACCATCGGGTAACTTCACTTTCAAGGTGTCAGCATTGGACGCCAACGGGGAAACGCCCAGCGAATGGCAGCGTTTTACCGTATTCCAGAACGGTACAGTACACTTTAGCATTTGCAAATAACTCTACATTTTGACGGAAGATTCATTTCAGATTTGTCGTGTGATGGCGACTGCTCCTCTGGAGGTGTTCCGTTGTGCTACTACGGCGCGTTTAACCGTCTCGAGCAGTTTGTGGATAGTCGTGGCGCTCATTGTCAGTGCTTTCATGGATTCGTTGGCGTTGGTTGCGACAAAACTGGTCAGTTGACGCTTCATCACAGTTCGTCGGCATTCCAGCATCAGTTAAGCCTGACTAAAGCACAAATTTCTCTTGATCGTCACTTATAGCCTCCCGGAAAGCTTATAGAAGCTCAATTTCCATAGCGCTTCCGTCCAGCAGCTCATTCTGACGCGCATCTGATTACATGGCGTCTATCCCGTCGTATTTGCCCCGACGGCAGGGTTGCGCAACACTGAGACGGCTTTCATCTCCGGGTCGTAACTGTTCCTCAATCCATTATGAATGCGCCTCGAGATTGGCCCAATCGCCTAGATACGTCAATTTCCGCGCTTGGCTGACCGGCAAACCGCGGCCGCATTGCCCTTTTAGAGCAGGCCTCTTGGCGGCGACATAAGCACCCCGGAAACAACACCTCAAGCCGCCACTTAATTGCGCCAAACCCACAACTGACACCCATTAGGCCTTATCGAGTGCGACGTCTTAATGAGATTGTACAGAGGGAATGTGAATGCTTTCAGACAACTGTCAACCGGAAAAGACTGTGGACAGCTATGGAGGACTGGATTGGAGGGAAGCGTCAGCCAATGCTACTGTTCAAGTGCCTTGTAAGATTTTTTGCATATATTTTGAATGAAGATTCGGGGAAGGATGCGGAAATCAGTGGGCCAGCGTACAGTGCTGGATTCCATTATCTTTATCATTGTTAGAGGCTCCTTAGAAAGATTTTTAAGGCTCTTTCTTTAGGTCCATATAACACAGAAAGCGACAAGCAGAAAGTGGAGCGAGCCTGTGAGTGGAACAAACAACTGGGCAGAGCTGTATGGGCTCGCCAAAAAGAGAAGGACAAATGCAAACCACAGGTATGCTATGTCATAGTGTAACCAATAATATGTAGCTTAATTTCTTAGACTAATTAGAGCTCAGATTAATAAGAATGAAGAACACCATAAGAATGTTTGGCACGGTTCGGTTTGGTGGGGGCATCACCAGACCTGTGAATTCTCCTAATCAACGAGGCCCACTTGCATCATTTCGCAGCTTCACAAACTTTTACAAGTATAGCTAAAGTTACTGGCTGTTACTTGGCTAACAGATGCTAACAAAGTGGACCTGCGATAGTGCAAAATGTCTCTACCAAGCCGAAAAGTGTCGAATGGTCAGCTTGGTTATCGTGGGGAATTTGCTACAAAAATTTGTAGAACTAAGGGATTTTTTTGTCCTAGAGAGCATTTCCTTGAGAAATGAAGAATGAGAATTGATTGGAGAGGTGATTTAGAAGAAAAATTATTACCGATATTCTCTTACAGGAGGGTCTTCCAGGTCAAGGAGGAAGTTTGATTTGCCGGGATATGGAGGTTCACGCAAAGGCCGAAAGGTGTATTGGGTTGGCTAATAAGTAATGGCCGTTTTTTTCAATTGAAAAATTTGTTCCAAAAGTGAAACGTTTTGCAAGCAAGCTTAATATCGTTTAATAGCAAACTTCTCGTAGTATTAGAATATCAAAACAGCTTCGGTTGAGGGAAGAGTTTTTGTGGATTTTTCAGTCGTTGAAGTTGAAAGTGAAGTCGGCGAAAATTAGCACCTTCGACAACTGCCTCTATTTAGAAATTTCATGCTAATAGTTGAATTAATTGAATTTGAATTTGATATTCTAATACTACGAGAAGTTTGCTATTAAACGATATTAAGCTTGCTTGCAAAACGTTTTACTTTTGGAATAAATTTTTCAATTGAAAAAAACGGCCATTACTTATTAGCCAGCCCACTAGCACCTTCGACAACTGCCTCTATCTCACGACCTCACGTTCCGTAATGATAACCTGAAATTAGCAGAAAGTAAACAGCTCTGGAGAACAGATTTTCACTGCAGTGTTATAGAGCACGAAATTTGCTATCAGAACATGCAAAACATATCAACTATTAGCATAAAATTTCAGGTGGAACAGACGTGAGCCTACCCAACTGGCTAGGTGAAGGTTGGCAACTTTGAAATTCTTAAAATTCGTTCCAAAACGTCCTATTGAGATTCCCTTGCTGAGACTTCTAGCTCAACCTTTTCCAAATGTATGGAGCAGCTTAAGCGATTTTAGCACTTCGAGTAACGTAAATAGAGGCAGTTGTCGAAGGTGCTAATTTTCGCCGACTTCACTTTCAACTTCAACGACTGAAAAATCCACAAAAACTCTTCCCTCAACCGAAGCTGTTTTGATATTCTAATACTACGAGAAGTTTGCTATTAAACGATATTAAGCTTGCTTAATTTTTCAATTGAAAAAAACGGCCATTACTTATTAGCCCACCCAATAGTTCGTACTTGTCGCGCGCTTCTGAGAGGGGGTGAAAAGTAGGCTGATGGTTCGAATCCCCTAGGTGACAAGATTTTGCATCTCTGCAATTTTGATTTCCTCAACTCATATTAGTCGGAACCTTTTATTTTAACAGAAACATGACCAAGAAATCTGAATAACTTTCTATCACCCTGTTTATCGTGGAGTCGTAGACTCGCAACATTGTTTTGCCCCTTTCGCCGAAGCGTACAGCAGAAATGAACCACACTTTTGTGGATCCTGTATGAATATGTGCATACGACTTGCAACGGACCGTTTAAATATGGGCTCCAGAACAGGAAAAACTGCCCTTGTTAGGGGAGACTATTTGAATGCGCTGTCAGCAAAAAGCGCTGCTTGGTCCAACGAGCGGGTAGCGCTTCTCTAATTCAATCAGCTTCTTTGCTTTATTTTGATGAGCTTTTTACAGGCGTCTGTCCTGACTCATCTGGGCATGCTCGGTACTTTTGCCCTTAATGCGAACGGAGTTTCGACCATTCATACTGTAGCCAGGTATGTTTCTTCTTAATGCCGTCGAGCGTGCACTTCGACAGCCTTGCTTTTTCAGATTCATTCGCGATCTGCTCACCGTGCCTGCATTTTCGACCGACCCTACCATCACTGCTCATTTCGATCAGAAAATTGCCGAACAAGCGGCTCTCGTCATCGACTCTGTTCTCCAGATTGACTTCGACTCACTTCAGGGGAATACCACATTGGCAAAGGTTCGTTATACATCATTGAACGTACTGTTTGGTTAAACGTCTGCCTCGACGAGGTTCTCCTAGTTTCCCTGCCTACGGAAGCGCTGTCTTTTTCAATGAAGCGCTTCTTTGAGGCATTGGCGTAACCACATCGGTCCTTGCCTTCTTATTCTCAAGTGTTTGCCCACTCCTTAGCGGGTTCCTCTTCCTTGACTTTGTAAGGCCCTTTTTCTCTATTGAATGCCCGACCGCGATAGCCGCAGCTCTTCAAATTCACATGCAGCGCGCCGAGCTACAGCCTGCTTGGGGCGCCTTTCTGAACGCTTTTCCAGCACCCGAGCTAGAGGCCCGGAAGTAGTCATAACGGTCTTTGATCTGTGCTTTATTGCCATACAAATCTTATTTCTATCGATACCCGGCTAGTTATATATACTTTAAATTAATTGGAATTGATATTTTAGACTGAGATGTGGTCAATCTTGTCAGAATTTTCCACGCGGCTGCCATCGCCTTTCACCCTGGTCTCGCCAGATCTTGGACTCCATCTGAAAGCGATGCAATGGGTGAAGGACAGTGAGAATTTCGACACTGTACTTGGTACCAAATGTCGTGTGAAGGTAAGGAGTCGGCTGTTTAACGTCTTTTGAACCGCTTCTTATTCGACTTTTCACATCAGCTGCCGACCATCGACTCGGACCATATCGTGAGAAGCATATGCATGGCCAATGCCTCATTGTTCGACGTAATCAGTTCACAGTACGTTCATAACAATGTTTCGCTTCAACTTTCCGATTCTGTTTAACCTCAAAACTATTTCCAACCTTTTCTCACTGAGACCATGTCGCCCATGACCCGGAAAAGGCCGAGCGAAATTTCTTATTTCTCAAGAAACATCTCCTAATCTTGGCAGAGGTTTGTATGGTCTTGTTCCGTTCGCTGTTGATGCTGGGTCATGTCAAGGGGCTAGATTTCAACGCGGCGCCAGCATCAATTCCACAGTTCTTTGATGCTTGCCCGCCCCAGCAGCTAGTCTAGAACGGGCTGGCGCCGCGCCAAATCTCCACAGACGCCCCACAGCAAAAAGGGCCTCCGACTATGATACCATCTCATTCGGGGTTGTTGAAGGTGGATGGCGCAGTTCGGCGACGGAAGTGGGGATGTTGCACTTTCGTTGCTTCACTAGTTCCGGTTTACAAGTCTCACTCTGGTGAAACCTGTGAACTCTTGTGGAGCTGGAGCAAGCTCGTCAAGCCATCATGGTAAAACCTGTTAACTCGAGAAGAGGCTGTCTAGATGGATGGTAAAACCTGTTAACTTGAGAATAGGCTGTCTAGATGGGTCGAAACGTCGATGGGAAGATTGAAAGCTTCAAAATGCCCCTTCCCCCCCGTCGTCGAACTGTGCCAAGGCGCATATTTGTTTTATAGTGATACACTAGTGCATCCATTGATGAAAGTGAAGAAGAGAACCCTCAGTGACAGATTCAAAGAAGGAAGAAGGGGGGGGGGAGGCCTTCAGGGCATACGGGCTCAGTATTGCTTCCAACATCGATAGGAGGGATATTTCGTAATCCGAATAAAAACAATTTGTGTACAATCTTTGAGGAATTTTATTCGTATTCCTATTCTGAATCAATTCTTCTATCGCTTGCTTCTAGAAATCCGGTCCTCTCACTGAAATTGGACACGCTTGAGCACGTCTATTTCAATAAAATGACCATCATGTTGAAACCGAAGGATTTTCGACACAATTACACTTGCGTCTATTTCGATTCAGCCGGTGAGTTTAGAAGGTGAAACGGTTGCATTGACCGTACGAAGTCTCACTTGGGCTGGCACTGTTTTTATACGAAGTGATGTCCCTTCTTGTGCGATTATGGCAGCTGCTGTTTCGCGTGCAGTTAGCGCTCCGAAAGAGTTATCACAAGGATGCTGACAAATAGACAGGGGTATGTGTCAAGAGAATCGTAATTCACTACAAGTGGCGTCGCGTGCGCTAGTGACGACGATTTCAGGTGGTAATGGTCGAGAATAGACAATGTATGACCAAAAATAGACATATGTCTACCATGTCCTTGTCTACATGAAATCCGATGCTCCAATCGAAAGGGTAGCGCAAATTGAGGAAACATTGCTGCGCGCGATGAAGCGGCAATTTACGATTTCTCCTTGCCCGTCTCCCGAAGGGGCTGAGCAGGGCTTCGAACCTGGCTAACTCACGCTTACAGCATAGCCTGTGGGGCTAAAGCCATCAAACTGAGAGGGTGGAAATGACGGCTCTGGTGGTGCAGTGGTTAGCACACTACCCCGATAACTAGGGTTCTAGATTCGAGTCTTGCCTGGACTGGTTTTTAATACTATACAGGTTGTGGGCTTACCTGAAAGCTTCCATGATGTCGGTTTGAAGACACATTACAGTAATCGAAAGGGAGTGAAGTTATTATTCAGACGTCTCCTGCCACAGCAAAGAAATCTTCAGAAATACGCCTTTCCACCCCCCCACCCAGACGTAACGAATTTCTCTCTCTGGCGTACGCCAGCCTTCCCATGCATATCTGCCATATATTAGCGAGTTTTTTTCGACTTCCTCCCACTTTTCCCACTTTTTCCGAAATTAAAGCCACCGTTCTCTCCCTGGAAAACTATGCGGAGATCGGCGCGTCTTTATCGCTCAAACTGTTACTGATTCCGACTGTCGAGAATAGTGAATGTAGTGTATAGGATCTTTGATTGCGTTACCAACTAGGGGCGAGCTCGAGGGGGGGGGAACCACACTTGTAATGGGAAATACAATGAAGAAGTCACGAACAGAAAAAATTCTTTCTTAATACACCTCCCCCTCTGCGACCGAATACGACGCCTGCGCAGGGTTGAATCCGCCTATCGACCGTATCCTGGTTGTTAACGCATTGTGGCCTTCTTCGTTGGCGAGCACCTCGTTTCAAAAGGTGTTGGAAAACTCAGCTAATTTTAGGAAGCGCTAAGACCGGTTTGAGTTCTCTTCATTTTCTCCGCGCCTTTCCTATTATCGCGGAATGTGAGTTCAATAAGCGTTCCTTTTAAGAGTTTCCCACAATCAGGGAGCAACACGGATGGGTTTCATATGTATTCCTGTTCAACTTGAGTGCGGAAATTGTAGAGTTTGGAAACATAGTGAACTCCTCCATACCTTCAGAAGGAGGCTGGTCGACACGAGGGTTACGCCGAATCGATACCAACTATCACGGGTTTGTTAAATGTGAGGCGAACCACATGGGCGTGTTTTCACTCTTACCGGTACGTTTTGGATTTTGCGGTTTCTTCACTCCCTTCGAGGGTCACGCTGAGTTTCTTTAGGAGAGCTATTTCTTTGACGACGATGATGCGATGCGAGATTTGGGCGTGCTGTTGCCTACGGTAACTACGTTCATCTCGATGATATGCTCCATCTTCTTGCTTTTCATGGCAGCTGTGCAAAAGTGAGTCGTATTGGCGTATTTACCTGGCTGTCCCAATTTGAATGAGATGATCGATATGTAGTCGAGTGGACGCTGGCCAGGATTAACGCTGTTATAACTAAAGTGCCGGTTAGGCTGGTACGTGCACCTCCATGGATCCTGGTACTGCCATGTTGAGGTACCTGGGTCCGCAGCGGCGGTAGCATGTCACTTTCTTCGCTGAAAAATACACGAGAATGGGGGAGCATAGTGATACCTGGGTTTCGTCTCCCGACTTCTCCCGCGCTTCTTCTGACTTTGGGGATAGCGCGTGGGGGAGTATGGAACGGCACCTAGGAATGCTTCCCTCCAGCAGGGAACGATCCCGAGGAATAGGCTCGCTGCTGCTGCTGCCCACTTATTAACCTCGAGCACGGAAAGGAGCGTCCGGATGTGAGAGTGGGCAGTATGACTTTCCTCATAGATGTGTGTAGATGGGGCACCAGTATAGCTTGTCTCTCTCCATAGTTTCATATAAAACGTCCACACATTTTTAGGAACCAATCGGTCGATCTAGCTCTACTAATTGTACGTATTCTGTGTGTTCATGATTTCTTGTGGTACATCTTGTGATGCTTGTCGCACCGCAGGTAAACGAAAAGTTACTTTGAAAATTCCTTGACAAACTTTCATTTTTATTCATGCTTCTGACACTCAATTTACAACAGAATTAATCATTTCTGCCCTACCGAAGTTATTGTGGTGCTTCATGTGCCCGATGGTGGGCGCTATTAGTTTTGTTTGGTTGTAGGGCCGTGTGGTCACGCCTTGCGAAGCAGGCAATTATGGGGATTTAACAATGGATTGCACCTAAGCGCAAGCGGCCAGCATCTCACACCGATTCACGTCAAAGTTCCTGTACGGGGGGGGGGGCAAAAAAGACACTGGTCGTGGCACATATCAGTAAAGTTTACGCAGCCCAGACAGAAGAGGTGGATATGAGTACCAGGGCGGAAGATACCCAAGATGTTCTTTGATAAGCAGGAGCAGGCTCTCTACCATCACCTTTATGTACACCAGAATATGAAGCCATCTCCAATGCAGCCGGAGAGCGAAGGCCTTTGGAATTCACGACACCTCCAAACAGCTGCGAAACTCATTGTATGGTGTCACCCATGGACAGCTGTCTCGGTACCGGTACTCTTGATCTGAAAGACCTCCAACATTGAGCAGCTCCGACAACGTCGGCATGGTCCAGGTTATCATCTTCACCGCAGTCGCCAAGGCACGGGTTGATGGTATGACCTGGAAGTTCCTGGAATGGGATGAACGATATTGTTTTCGTGGATCCCGGACTGAAAGTGAACACTGACGGTTACATCGACCAGCTTGAGGAACCTACCTTCATGTCGTCGCCTGTGACGTCTTGGAGACTTCGAACTGCTAGAGGATTGGGTGCCAGCACATGGAATCGAAGCGAGTTGGAAAAACTCTCGCCTACTTGGAATCGAAGAGCACTGAGAACCTGAAGGATACGGAGTATCCTATTGTGTCACCTGATCTGAACCCCCTCGATAACCAGGTTCGGGAGGAGCTCATAGGGTGGTCTACAGTGGCGGAGAAATCAACGACCTCGCTGAACTCAGGCACCGAATCACGGTCGCGTGGCAGAATCTCGATGGCGTTCGTCCAGAAGGCTGTGGCGGAGTATCGTGATAGTGTACAATGTGTTGTTGAATTTGGTGGTGGAAATGTATAATCGTATTGATAAAGTGTAACTTATATCGCCTTGAAATTCGAGGAAGAAATGTGTCTCTTTTGCCCCCCCCCCCTCCTGTAGGCTGGCTCTCCTGCTCTCCTGTCGAGAGATGTGTTGCTAGCAGAGTTTATTTGATGGATAGAGGTACTGTTAGTCGCAGTCCAAATGGTTACAAGTTGCACGAACGGTGGGAGTAGCCCCTTGATTTTGCCTTTGGCCTGTTCGTTGTAATCACGGTAGGGTGCTTTCTCGGGAGGTCTTCGAGTTTTTTTTTGTCGAAATAAAAATTCTGGTTTAATATACTTCGATCTGGTTCAGTATGTCATCCTTACTGTTATAGTTATAATCCTTCGCGTAATCTTTCATCAATGAAATTTCAGAGGGAGGTGAGTGTGAAGGGTTGATTCAAAGAGCTCGTTTAGTTTCCGTTTCGCACGTGCCCTTACACGGAAACTAAGCATTGTATCCTCCCTACTCATGCTCAAGCCTGAAATATAGGGTCTTCTACTGTGCTCAAATGGTTATCGTTCAGGTGGGCGATCCGTTCGCGCTCTCACCGTCTCTACATCTTATCCTGCAGTTTTCGATTATCTCGGTGACAGCGACGCTCTATTTGGTGTTAAGTTCAATCCGAGCCGTTCTCATTTCACATGAGAGAGTGAAAGAGGAGGAAGAGCAGTGCTGTTCTCGCCCATGCTCGGTGATCGGTCTTGGAATATGTGAGTATTTCATTGTAATAATCTTGCTTCATAACAGCTTCTACCAACGAAGCCACCTTGAACTGTCTTGGAAGACTGTACTCAAAGAGAAGTATCGAAATTTGGTTACAAATTTGAGCTTTTTATTAGAAAATGCAACTTTCTCACGTTTCATGTACGCGCCCGCCCCCCCCCCCCCCTTAAAGGCATAGGCCGCGGTCACTCGCTATTACAGATAGTGGATTAGAGGTTTGCATGTACGACAGTGAAGAAAAAAAAAGCAGAAAAAAAAATGCTCTTCGCCCTAGACAGAACCCTGTTTCGATCCCAATTGTACGTGCCGGATTAACCCATCTCCAACACTACACCCTCATCCGCACAGCTGATTCCCCGATAAGAACTCTACGACCGTACAAGTGACGATTTTCATGCTTTTTCGTCCTGCAGCTTCGTTTTTCACTGAAAGGCGGGCCTTGAAGGCGGAGTCTGGAGGCGGAGTCACTGGAAAAAGGAGGCGTCACTGAACCTATATTGCGCTATAGCGCCCCTCCCTTACAATTTTTGCCGCGAAACCGGTACAAGGTTGTTCGGACTACACTACCCTCCCGATCCCACATTTTCCACTTCTATCCCTGATCGCGAACCGTGCCTTTAATCCGGAGCAGCAATAATCCATTTTCGAGTCAACTGTCTACGCAGTACATTTAACTCGAAGGATGGTCATCGCAATTTCCATGTAGAGGCTCCCAGCCGTCGCGTCTCCTGTCTTCTTTTGTGCTCCTAACAATAGTCTCTTTCAGTTCTTCCTGCTGTGCTAACGTTTACCACGTACTTCTTCTCGAACAACTACGACAGCAACCTGACCAGGTTAGTTTTTCATCAGGATTTCATTTTTTCATCTGGTCCTGTCATATTTAGCGGATGCTGCCTTCTGGCTTGACACACGGTCCATATCTCGGTATTGGAGGGGAAGCTTCTTCTGAATTGGTTATCAGCGCCGGGGTGGTAGGCAGTTGCCGGCCCAAAAGGACTTGAGCACCCCGTCCAACGCCGTGAGCTAGACTGATCATACCTTTTGATCAGCTGCAGTTTACGAGAAATCTGTTAAAATCCGTGCAGTAGATTTCCCATGATATATTTCCAAAGAAACGATTGATAATGTTTATTTTCCTTGTAAAAAGACAATTCGCAGGGTTTTTGACCGAATCGACTGGCTCTTTATCGCCAACTACCTCTCGCCAACTGTGCTCTTCTGTGCATTATGTGTTTCCTATGCCATATGGAATATATATTTGGGCAGTTTGTGGAAGTACGTTCTATTTATATGCAATGCCCTGCGCCCCTGATCAATGTGTTCTTTCAGGTCTCGTCATCGCGGTTCGTCTGAACGATTTCTATCCCTTGCACCTGCAGTACAAGCATCTTTAGTTTCGATAATAACGGTATGAGCACTTTCCCTCTTTTTCTTGCTTTTTTCTGTCCCCAGCGAATCGACAGAAACCATAGATCGTCCTAGTAGTCTTTCAGGTTTGGGATCGTCCCGATTGTCAGTGATTGAAAAGTGTTCATCCGGGAGTCCCCACGTACATACATGTTTTGAGGCGGTGAGAGCCTAGCTACATCAATGGCTGCCCTTCCATAGCGGCAACGACTGGTGTCGCACCAAGTCGTTCGTACGGAGAGACGCCTTCAGATGATTCAGCGAGAGGTCAAGCAAACGTCGTTGAATCCGCGGCGAGGGGGTCGTATTCGGCCTCCCTTTGGAAGGGGGGGGGGTCGTATTTGAAGAGATCAGTACCTAACACTGCAAGGACGTAGCTTGTAGGATGAGTCATGCATTCGGAAAGGAAGGCACATTCCAAAGGAATCTTGAACAGCGCCTCTCTGCACACTTAATATTCACAGCATGGGGAGAAGGAGAACGGGAGGCGCACCGAGCTTCCTAGATGGAAAAGGGGGCTTTGCATGTGGGGATTTCCTCATGCTGTGGCAAAAGATTACTTTCGAATGGAAATCCGCCGCGGGCGAATTTTCGCTACAATCAAGCAACAACGGAGCAATGGTGCTCTTAGAAAGAAATTACCTTTTACTTCCCAAGGCCATGTAGAACTCTGTTTTAGTTTATGTATTGACGAAATTAGGGCTTTAGCAAGGTAAAGAGCTCGCGTTGGCCGAAAACTATCCGGGTTATTTTCGATTTCCCGGCGAATTTTCGCTGTAATTAAGCTACAGCAAAGCTGTTGTGCATTTTCACTAAACCTTCCAATTCCCAAAGGCGTGTAAACCTCCATTCTTTGTTCTGTATGAATGAAGTTATCCATTGAAAGGTGAACGGCAGCATTTTCTGGAGGGGGGGGGGGTTGTACCAACTCCCGATATTCCGCGACGTGATGCTTCACCCTGCGCAGCGACTGCAGCTTGCAGAGTTTTGCCATACTGTAGCACTGTAGCTGTGAGCACTTTTACCATCCCTAATCACTGTTGTGATGGTTTTTTAGAGTTAGTCAAGTGTTTCAGCTAATACTTCTCGCATCGTTCGTGGTTTTGTTCCTTTTTCGAGAGCGGTCATCGGTCGTCGCTATACTGTACTCCCTCATGCAGATACTGTATTCGTGTTGCGCTTTCCTGTTTGCTGGATATGTGTTCAGGTAGTGCTTTTCTCATTATCGTTTCCCTAAAAAGTTTTAAATGCTATGTATGCATGTACCACTACAGGCAAACCCGTGACAAAGTATATTTCTATTGCTGATGTTACCCCAGTTAGTCGGGGCACTACGAAAAGGGCCGGAGTGAGCGCGCCCTGGTTGCCTTGCCTATGCAGTAGAAATTGCGCGATGGTTTAACCAGGACCAATGGTACAAAACGACGCGAACGGACTCATTCCACGCCTTCTGACACCGCCCGACTGATTGCGGCGATATGAGCTTTGAATACCTTTCGGGCTTTGGCATGAAGTGCATCTTGGCTAGATCCCCTCTTAAACTTTCTTTTGCTTGGCTTCTAGTTACGTCAGTAAATCTCCGACTAGGCGCTCAGCGCGACATTAATTTCCTGTGTGAGCTGGTACGAAAGGTTCTGGAAGTGTGCACAGGAAAGCGGAAGAGCGCGAGGGCTGGTGGCTGCGAGGACGGGCTGGAAAATTCGGAAAACATGGGGTTTCTTGAGAAAAACCATGGATGACGAGCGGTCTTTTCAGGTGTCTGAAAAGTGGGGTCAGGAAGGCAGGAAGGGCGAAAAAAGTCGTGTCGAGGTTTCGACTGTCTCGCTACCATTTTGAATATTGAGCTGCTCATTTTCTCGCAAATCATCCTGAAACTGAGACTTGCTGATCTGGGGCTTGATGCCGGATAAAGTTTCCTGGCGTGACTCAAAGCTTTGTTTTACTGGCTCTAATTTTGTCCTCTGGAAGCTGCGATTCACACCTTACCCATGGGTTCATCGTTGAATGCCTATGGCGAAGAAGCCTGCTCTTCTGCTTTATAAATGCTGAATAGCATCGACAGCAACCATTGGGCAGTCAACCATTAGGCAAAAAGATTAACATGAAAATCGAGCGCTCCGAAATCACGCTACCGATAAAAACCACCCATATTTCGCATTTACGGAGGGGGGGGAGGGGCAAAAAAAGTCACTTCGACCGAGTCACATATCAGCAAAGTTTTCGCAGCCCAGACAGAGGACGTGGATACGAGTACCAGGGCGGAAGATACCCAAGATGTTATTCGATAAACAGGCTCTGGTCCGTCCTTCATGTATACCAGAATATGAAGCCATTTGTAATCGCAGCCGAACTGAAGAAGGCCTAAGGAATTCACGTCACCTCCAAACAGCTGCGAAACTCCTTGTATCTAGTCACTCCGAGGGTCGCTATGGTCCAGGATATCATCTTCACCGCAGTTGCCCAGGCGCGGTTGAAGGTATGGAGCTGAAGTTTTTGGAACGGGAAGACCGATACCTTCGTGGATCCCGGGCTGGAAGTGAACGCTGACCAACTCGAGGAGAATATCCCGTCTTCATGTCGTCTGTATCTTGGAAACTCCGTACTGCCACAACTCTCGCCTGCTTTCAATCGAAGGGCGTTGAGTACCTGCAGAAGAGGGAATATCTAAGTGTGTCACCTGTCCTAAACCCCCAGGATTACCGGGTTCGGGAGGAGCTCAACAGGGTGGTCTGGTTCCCATCGATCACTGGGGTTGTCTTCCGTGGAGACCTGTAAGTTTCTGAAAAGCATGCACTAGCAGCAGCTTCGTTTACAGTAGACAAGAGTTTAAATGTTTGTCCAAGAATAAGCGTTTAATTCAACAGAATTTAGCACAACCTAGGGAAAGCGACAAATGCCCCTCCCACCTCAAGCAGTGCCGTTTATTCTGGCCTTATTCCTGTCAATTCGAAGCGCGCTGTATGCATATGAAACTAATCAGTTAGGCT